AATTCGAAAGTAAACCTTCATAAGGTTGATCCTGACAAGATAATGCCTGCACTTTTACCTACATAAATTTTTTTGGAAAAGACCAAGATTCATGATGATGCGGGATCTGGTGCCTTTATCTAGAAGGTCTTTTTTTGCGGTTTAAAACCAAGTTAACAAAACTGCAATTATATTTTCATTTGTTTTATCAATTAAGAGTGCACACTAAAACCATCGTTGTACAGCAATAGCCCGGCATGCACTTTTTATGAATTTTGCTTATTTTAAGTCAGAAACTGATCTGCAAGTGCCCTCAACTTTATGCAGAAAGTACATAAGTTGACATCGCGGTTTTTAAAAATTAACAATATCGCATCTTTCTGCTCACTTATCATTTAGAAGATGATATTATCAAATTCCAAACAGCTTGACCAAAGACGATCTCGCTGAACAGGATAAGAAGTGAACAAGCTCTAATTACTTAAAAAAATTGCATCGATATATATATCCAGTTTAAAATATAAAGAATAATAAACAGTTACGTAAAATGTTCGGTGCTCTCCTAATGCCCCATATACACTGTAGAGTCATTAGGTTAATTGGAAGCAGAAAAGATGAAAAATATGCAACCGCCTTCGCCGGGAATCGAACCCCGGACCTCTGGAATACCGGCCCAGCGTGCTACCGTTACACCACGAAGGCACGTTAGGAAAGTGGGAGAAATACCTTATAACACGCTAATTTTTCCTTAATGATTAATTCAGTCCTGTAACTGAAGTTATTATCTCGAGTTTTAGTTTATCCTGAACACTATTAATTTGCTCTTAAAAACAGTTATGATTATGTAGCTCATAGAAAAAAAAAAAAAAAACTTATAGTCCCTTGCTTGCTAGTGCATTCACTATGACAGTTAGAAATGCCTATGGAATTTTCAATTAATGTCTAGTGACAACCTGGACCAAAATGAACAGCTAAAAGAGTGTCAGCATATTTATCATATAGTCAGCAATATTATTAATTAATATTGCTGCATTATATTTAAATCTTGGAAAAGAAGCTCTTAAAAATGTAGTTTTATTATTATGGCAATTAAGAATTCCTTCTACTAAACATTCAAATAAAATAATCTTAAAATAAATAAATCTTCTGAAATTTTGTCAGGAACCACATTGAAGGCTTTTATTTCCTAAATTTATATTCCAAAAAATAAAATAAAAACTGCCACGGCAGAAAATCTGAAACACGTTTTTAAAACGTAACGGGCAGTTTGGTAAACCACAGCACGGGAAATACGGGGTATTGTCTGTTTACTGCAGAACAACATGCACCTGTGGCAGGGGGGCAAAGGTGAGTTTGCTTCAAAGCGTTCTTTGTCCGGTCGAGAAAAAGGGCTTCTTTTTATACGTCACATAATGGCGACACTCCCGTCCTCACCGTCGTTAAGTACCCAACATTACGAGAATATCTCTAGGACAGAAGATGCTGCTGCCGTCTAGATCATCATAGGGTATTACATATACAGAATGCCGAATCACTAGTCTGCTCTTGGACTCAGTCCTGCAAAACACAGCTGTTTTTTTCTTTTAAGTTTATTATTAAGCATTGCTTTCTTCGCACTCACGCCACATAAAACTCAACATCAAAATCACGAAATATTTAAAATCCTTTTAGATTAAAACTCCTGATTACGTATTAGGGGTTGTCATACTTTTATATATATAATCTTCAGATTCATAATTATACATTATCCTGCAACAAAATATTATTAGCTGGCTTTTAGAGAAAGAAAAAAAAAACATCCAAGATCATTTAACACAAATGCAATTTGAATCCTAGATAAAACAAAACTCAAATAGACCTTTTATTATATATCAGGCTTTAAGGAAAGTTTCCCGCGACCGCAAACATCTGCACAAACAGTTCGCATTGGCGTTTTAAATCAAATTTTGTGAAACGATTTTTAGCATTTGAAAGAAAGAGAATTGCTTTAGAACACTGTGTTGTGAAAGTTGCACAAAAAATACCGTTATTTATAATTAAGTACAGGGTGTCTGAAATTGAACTATCACGCTACAAGATTATAGAACCATCATTTACTTCCAGTTCTGTTGCAAAACGTCAGCTACAGAATGTCACCAAATGATGCGCACAGCATTAGGTACTAATATTGTATCATACGATACTGTGAAGCTGTGGTACTGAAAGTTCAAAAACAAGGACTACGACATTCAAGATGCTGAGCGCTCTGGCCGGCGTACTGATATTGATGAAGCCCGCATGCGAGAACTTGTAGAAGAATATCAGTATGCAACCACTCCAGAGCTTGTTAAGGAGTTAGACATTAGTGCCATGTCCATTAATAGCGCTATGCATTACATAAATTTGACGTACAAGTTCAATCGTTGGGTGCCACATCAGTTGACTCAAGCAGATAAGGACAGACGTGTTTGGGGCTGCACTAATCCGCTCGAATATCAAAGGACGAACAAATTTTGGACTGGATCGTCACTTGTGATGAAAAATCATTTTACTTCAAAACGGGGTTGGTATGCGCCCAGTGAGCCCGTCGGCAGCATCGCAAAGCGCAGTTTGATTAACAAAAAGCTCATACTTTGCATCTGGTGGGATTGCCATGGTATTATCTACAAAGAGTATCTGGAAAAAGGTAAAACCCTCTAGTCTCTATTTATGCTGTTATCAAGGAAAAACATCGAATTGAGTTCCGGCGCAAAAAGGTAGCGTTCCATCAAGATAATGCAAAACCACATGCGTCTGCATTCACCAGCTGGACTCGGTACGGACTCGAATGGGATCTTTAACCGCACCCACTATATAGCCCCGCCATCGCTCTTTTGGGCTTCTATTTTTTTTCACACCTTCAGCTACATCTTGCTGGTGCTATCATCCATTTATGCACAGGACGTCCGAAATGAGGTTGATCTGTTTTTCGGACTCGCAGCCACAAAGTTTCTGGAACGAAGGCTCTGAAAACTACCAAAATGTTGGCAGAAAACCATGGATTTCGGTGGTGATTACTACCCGCAATAAAGGCACTGCTTTCATTCCCCCCTTTAACTTTATTAAGAACGTTTTTTTTTTGGGGAAAAACTTTCGTTGCAACTATATATATATATATATAATATAAAGCCTTTACAAAAGCGGCCACCTAAAACTGTTATAAAAATTAATTATAATATAATGATTTAAAAAGTCTAGCTAGTGTAATTTCATAAGAGTATTTAATATGCCTGATTAGACATTTCATTTTAATTTAATGAATTAAAAAGTAGAAAAATATACTTAAAAAATGTGTTTTTAAATCGCCTTAGATAGTTACTCAACAACCTTTCGAGATTAAATCTTGAAAGTTAAATATCGTAGATCTTAATGAACAAAAACAGGTCGGAACGAGTTCTGGAAATAGGACCACATTGTTTTTAAACAGCCCAGTTTATTGATTAAAACTGAAAGATAGAGAGCTTAACTTTTTGCCGAATGGCAACAGTCTGACACTAGAGATAAAAATGTTTTATTTCAAACAGTGTTGCCGCTTTTTGCTTTCAAATCGCTGTTTGATAATAAAAAAATTCATAAAATTTTACAAAATATTAAATAAATAAAGATATTCGAAATTCAGGCTTCAAGATGCACATGTCGTTCGGAGTACTATGCAAGTTAAGAGTTTGGTTTGAACAAAACTCAGATCGCATAAATTTACGAGTGTTCGAGAAAAAACTCACTCAGAATGTTGGGGTTTTAATTTTTGGATTTAATAGCTAAAACTACTTTGCTTCTTTGCGTACTACCGGTTGAAAACCCTTTTTCTAGTCTGTTGCCGTTCGGAATAACGTATTACGCTTTCCGTTTTAATCTGTTTGTTATTAATTAACAAGCTAAACTGTTGTATTTAAAAGTAATAGATGCAGTTCATATTTTTTTTAATTTGAATTTGACTGATTCGAATAAAAATGCATTTAATTCATAATTTATCTAATTAACATTACATATTTTTACAGAATTACATTACCCATTTTTCCACCTTTTAAATATACAGAAGATATATAACATTCCCATGCCAATCTAAATGCATATTAATATCTTATGAAATATTGAGCTATTCCACTTGGGCCATTTCTATCAATAACCCTTACCGATAAACCAATTAAACTTTAAGAGCTCTTTTGAGAGATCGTTAAAATTTGAACCTTTTTATTTTTTTTTAAACAAATAACTATTTTCAATTTCATTTCTTTAGTAGTACATGGGTGCGATAACATTTGGTGGCAACAATTTGAAAAAAGAATCGGACACAAAAAGGGGCAGTAATCCAATCGAGATTATTTGCACCTCTAATAATAATAATAATCCTCTCCGCTGATAAGGATAAAAAAGTAAAGCATACTATTTCCAAATTAAAAGGGTAAAACAACAACGGGCAGAAAGAACTTCCGCCAAATTAATGCATATGCAGGGCTTAATTTCTAAAATTAGAAGTGCCGGAGCCCTATGCAAGACTGTCAGTAAAGAGGAACAAGAGTAAATAAATAAATGAAATGGTCATTAAAATCATTAAATTAATATTAATAATTAATCTTTGCGTTGTTATCTAATAAGTAATTATTGTTTAATTAATTAATAGTTAAATAATTAAAATAAGTAAATGGTTAAAATTAAATTAAATGTACAGAGATAAATCAAAATTTAATAAGCGATTTTTAATATAATTTTTTTTACTAAGAATAAAATTTTCGAGATCAGATTTCTACTGAAATTGTTGTTTAGTTACATAAAAGAAGTGCCGGAGCCTTCTTGTTTAGGACGCCGGTGCGCTCCGTCTAGAATTATGATTTATCCCAAAAACTAAGAAGGACCGGCGCAATTTAAGCTCTGTGAATATGTATAAATATTAAGTCACTATAGGTACAATAACTGTTTAAGAAGAAACCACTTCACTAACACTAACACTAACAAAACTAAGACACAAACAAAATTTTCGCCAAAACAAATAACGGAAAACTGACCTGGGGAAATAACCTCGTAGAATAACTGCCATCATAAACCATATTCGCTCCGGAACGGACAGTGGCCGAGGAAAGACATTCGACACTATTACAAGCCGTATCTGAGAGTGCTCTTCCAGAGGAAGTAAACATCGCCGATGCGCGGCTCCACGTTGACTGGTTTGGTTGGGGAGTCCCGTTTAAGAGTTTTCGGGGAGTTTTTTTCGTACTACTTACGGCGCCAAAATATCGCCAAAAGGAGTGGCGAATACGACTCAAAAGTCGAACAACACACCCATTCACGAAGACAGTTTTGAAGTGGAACTATCTACTGTATTAAATTAGAAGTAAAACCAATTAACAAAATACTTTTTTTCACTTTTAAGCAATTTTTTTACTTCCTTGCTAGTACATTTAAATATGCATTTTATACAAGAAATCAAATTATTTATAAAATTTACACGCAGTTCTTTAAAAACAAATCGGTTGACCCTCAAAGCACAATTTGCTTCACTTAACTTTTAATAAAGTGACTAAAAAAAACGGCTTAAAACACACTTGCGCGAATTCAGTGATACAATTAGGTTGTAACATGCATGTACGGTTTAGATATTCATTAAAGTATGAGCATCAATATGTTGACGAAGAAAAGGGGACTTTAATTATTCAATTAACATGATTTACACGTTATTACCATTAATTTACAATATATTTTTAAAATGTTACCAAGAGCTACATTTTTTTTTACTACTTACTTTTATTCCCCAAATAATCTAAAATTACAGCCGATTACATACTTTAATACGATAAGAAAAGGATATCTACAAAAAATTAATGATAGGCTTCTTGGAAAGGGTTCGCACTTATTTACTCTCTAAAGTAACTAACGTTCCCGCACGCTCTTGCCATCAACTATAGTAATACACAATTTAATCTAACTATATTGAAACAGATCTAAGTATCTGTTAATACTAACAAGTAGTATTAGATAGGATTTTTAAAAATTTCCTAATTAATTAAAAAAAACATTTGAAGATATCTATACGGTATAATGTCATCAAGAATTTAGAATATTTTACCGTCTGATAATTCAGATATTAGTCTTTTAAAATAAAAATTAATAGAGATGATGAGTGGCCCGAATTCTCGATGAGAGATGGCACACTGATACAAATCTGAATTACGGGCAACGTCACTATTTATGACTCTGAGTGAAATCTCACATTTGCATCATATATTTATTTCTCAGAGTTTAATAAATTAAATGCGTTCTTTGATTGTTCAAAGAAATGCTCTCTCCATTGGCTGTAATAATCACGGACATTGATAGTTGCCGCTTAATTAAGATAAGCATTACCCGATTTTATGCACACTTATAATATGGATAATTCGGAGTTTCAAATCATTAAAAATTTAAAATTATACTGAGTATTGTTCTTAACCAAATCTCTTCCTCATATGTACGAAAAGAAAGTATTTGCACTCTTTATAATAATCACGAAGTTAACATTCTCAAACAAACCCGGTATGACATTATTTGAGAATAAGTTTTCTTTAAACTAGCTTAAAGGCTTTATTCTGAACGCAAAAAATCTGCAAAAAAGAGCATGGAAGTTGGAATTTACTATATATATATATGTATAAATAAAAAATGCGGTACGTCTTCATATGCTGCTAATCAAATATTTATATATGATAACATACAGAATTTCAATCTTGCATCTAATGAATATTTCATCAATAAAAACGCTTCTCATGTCATGATGCATATCCTCATTAACGCGTAAGACAAATACTATTTCTTCCGACTGTTAACTTTTCAATAGAGATCTTTAATCGTGGTTCATCTCTATCCGGAGAAAAAAAGAAGAAAATTCTTAATCGCTTCTGGGAAACTTACGACGTGTTCTAGGTCAGAGAAAATCACGCCCAAAAATGACAGCGAAAGGTCAGCGTCCGTTCAGCGGTAAATCGCCGAGATCTGGAATTCATGGTCTACACTAACTGGCAACCCCTCGGGAAAGAGAATTTTTTAGCGGGACCGTTTCTCAATTAAATTAGAAGCAAAACACTGTAATCCTAGATGAAAACTATTTTTATTTTCTGTTATCATATAAAGAAAATTGATACTAGTTGTCTGGCTTTGAATACCTCAAGCGCAATTAATAGCCGCTCACAGAAACTTCAACGGTGCTTTTCCAAATGCATACCCATATATAGCCCAGTGTAAGCAAATTAAAATGCATACATACATCGCTTTTCGAGAATAAAATTTTTTTCCGATAAAAGACAAATTATTTTAAAATGAACATAGAGTATTTAAAGAAATGCATTAGAAAAGAAAACTTTATAGAAATATTCCACAAATAGCATTTTGTTTATTTATTAAATTGATCAATATTATTTAATAATCAAGTATAAAAATGTAATTCCCTATTTTCTCAGCTTTTACAATTCAACAGAATTTAAAACTTTAATAGAAACTTTACTTTCAAAAGCATGGATTTGAATTAATTAAAGAAAATATGTAAGGTCTGTCCTCAGAGGACAGATGAATGGTGAAATTATTGGTTCTTAACGCATCAAAGGCTTATTCAATATATTCCAACTTGTCCAAAATCAGAGAAAAATATAACAACCATAAGAAAATAAACCGATTAATATGATGATGGAGAGCCATTTATTTACAAAAAATAAATCAAACTTTTGTGTTCAGCTTTTTATATAATAACTTGCACAAAATTATCCTAATTATAAATACAGGGAATGGGAGGAACATATAAAAAATTAGATTTCATAATTTTTACAAAACTGATTTCTTTGAAACTGCCAAATATGAATATTTGCATCATCTAAATTTTTTTGTAATTGGAAGTATATGTCTATGATCAACATTTACAAAACTAAAGGCCAGGTAAGAACTTAAGTGATTATATTAAAATACATTAACCCACAAATCAAAACTGTTTGAAACTTTAAACTTCCCGGCATGGTTCCGCTACGTAGACGATACTTTTACCCTGTTTGAAGGTAATAAAGATGATTTAAATAAAGTTCTTTCAACAATGAATTCTATCGATCCTGCTATTCAGTTCACTTTTGAACTTGAGACTTGCAATTCTCTTCCGTTTCTCGACATTCTGGTCACACGTAACACATCCAATTTCAGTACTACAGTTTACCGTAAACCTTCATCTGTTTGCCTTCCACCACACTTTAAATCATGTCATCCGACTAACAAAAGTTAGCTTCATTTTATTCCTATGTTTTCCGTGCTCTTCAAGTTTGCTCCTCCACCCCCACCCCCCCCCCCCCCCCCCCCCCACCCCCCCCCCCCCCCCCCCCCCCCCCCCCCACTAGCCCTTGATGAAGAACTAAATTATTTAAAAGCAATAGCTATTGACAGGGGCTTTTCACCCAACATTATTAATCAAGCAGTTAAAAAATTCTCATCTCAACACACTAAAAGCCCACACTCTTATTTTAGGAGATTATAAAAAATTCTGTTGTCATTCCCTTCTTTCCATCAATTAGCTATAAAGTTTGCACATATTTTGCAGAAATTTAACTTTCGGGTTGTTTATTCTCCCATCAATAAAATTCGGACTTCTATACTCAAAGACCCCATTCCGGATATGAATTCCTGGGGTATTTATAGGATTCCTTGCCAATGTGGTTTAATTTACATTGGCCAAACCAGGAGAGCCTTAAAATTTCGCATCAAGGAACATGAGGCATATGTTAGCAAAAAGGAAACACAGAAGTCTTCTGTTGCTCAACATTGTTGGTCCGAAAATCACACTTTCAATTTTTCTTGCTGCTAAAATTATTCAAAAAACATCTTCCATTGGAGAACTGGATTTTCTAGAGGGCATTTCACATTCATAAAAATCTTTCTGTTCTAGTTAACGATCCTAATTCCAATCCAAATTTGCCTTCGGCTTTTAGAGAAATTATGTTTTAGTTCTGGTTTCGCCAAGAATAAGCAGATGGCGCCACTTGCTTATTCTTGTCCAGGCTTTCTTATCTTATCTAATCATTATTTCCTATCTTGTTCATTTGCGGTTTTGCAGCTGAAGATGGTGGTTCGGTAAAACCATCGAAACTAGTCCTGTGAAAATTTTGCAAATATTACGCTGATTTTTGTTGTTTGACATCTGAATTAATATTTATTCGGCGTGTTATTGTGTCTTAATTATAGAAGCCCCAAACAGGCTTATTTTTTGTTTTTTTTTGCACGTGGTGTGGCCGCCATTTTGTGATTGTAGGAGTTTCGGTGAGTACTTTTTTGCAATTTTCAAGTTATGTTTATGTTTTGTACATTTGGATATTGTGCTTTGCTTGTCTGATTTCATGCATTTTGCTTACAAACGTTTTGTTTTCTATTCATTTCAGTGAGGGATTTTTCTGCTGTTTTGTGTGTACTTTATTATTGCTCAGTTAATTTAGTTTGATTTTCTGCATTGTTTAACATGCCTTCATCCGTTAATCGTTTCACTAAATTACGCCTGAAACGGCAAAAATTCCTGAATCATCTTGACTTTTACTTAAATGTAAATGTAAGAAATTGATCCCCAATTTTATTCAAATCAAATCTAATCAAAAACCTTCGAGTCGCATTTCAAGAATTCTGTTAAAAAATTGCAAGCTTGCCTTACTTCGGTCCGTGATAAGGGATAACAACGTCAACAATTGTCCAAAATTGAACATGAAAACTCTATAAGCTTCATCTGGAACTCGCTAAAATATCCAAAATTCACTGCCCTTGAACAAAAGTCTCGGTCTAGAACGAAGAATGCAGTTAACCGTCATAAAAACACCCTTGCAGTTAAATTCAAAAAACTTCTTTTACAGTCTTCCAGTTCAAGTAGTTCAAAAAATCTTCCCATTGTAAACATCAAGCCAATAGTTAATATTTCTAATGTTAGTCTTTCAGAAGAACAAGAGAGAATTCTAAAATATAATTTCAACTTCTCACAAACCTGTAAACCCTCGATTCCAAAGATTTTGGCTCCTATCGAAAAAGCTTCCAAGTTCAGTAAAGTTTCAGATTCACAGAAAGAAATGATTAGGCATCTTATCGCTCATAATGTGAAATTCAATAATAAACCTTTGAAACCAAATCTAACTGCGAGAGAAAGAGCTACAATGCGCGAAATTCATTCTAA